TCTCTTGAATTTCCATTGACAAAAGTTGCCTTTTTTTGGAACAAACACAGAAAGGGAGACCAGCGAAAGCCAACATGTCTGGAGTCTCTGGACTCAGAGAAAAGAGTTGAACCTAACTAAACTCACTTTAGCCTTTCATTTAAAATACGTACCAGGATTGAAAATGCCATTTAACTGCAATCCTTTGGTTTTGCTAGATCATCTCTTAAAGTTGCATTTGTGATATTTATGTTATCGTCTTTCTCTCTCCTCCCAGGTTTGACTCCATGGCTTAGCTCGACTCCTGACAGAAACTCACCGGACGTCTCTTCCTCTCTTCCTCACGGTCCTCTGCCACTACAGGTAGGAAATAACTCCTCTACTACAGTATAAGTATTATTAAATGATCAACAATTGGAAGGCAACTACCAACCAAGCTGTGGTTTGCCTTCTTAAGGCCCAGACACACCAAACTGACACCAAAGAACACGTCCCGACGGACCCGACTGTTGTGTCGCCTCGCGTCTCCTGCGTCTTAGCCAACAGTCGCACTGGAACACACCGCAAAGACTTCAGCCGACGGCCAAGTAGCTCGTACGAACTGCGCATGCGTGAGTGGCAATAACTCTCCTTACCAGCAGGCGGCGGTAGTGTGTATTCGTCATTCAAAAGAGGCAACAACCGGAAGACAGACTGCGTGATACACCGAGAGAAGAAGAACAGACTGCGTGATATAAACAAACAACAAATAGCGTGTGCGTTCCATTTTCACTCTACAGCGAGAAGCTCATGGGGCTTTCCCCAACCTGTGTCGAGAGCTGGAGTTAAATGAATTCTCAGATTTGCCTTCTTAATAGTTTGTTTGGGTCCCTCACTTCCGTTTCGCTTCTCATGCACTGATTCGCTAAGCTGAACAGCCAATCAGAGTGATTTCTTTGGCCGACGGCACAGTATCGTCAAACATGCTTTTCAAGATCTATCAATGTGATTAAAGCTTGGATTAGTTATTCCTTTTAACTCCAAGTGACTTTTATTTGATCCCAATCAAAACATGAATCCCATAATCCTACAGCATTTCAAGAAGGATATTAGTTCTGCATGAAGTGCCAGATACTGAAAACACCAATTAAGTGCTATTTATTTTTCCGTCACAGTTCGTGTTACAACTCTTTGTCAGAGGAAGATTATTCTGCAGTGAAACCCAGTACCTGAATAGCTGATCACTTCATTGCTTAATGACTTCCTAATCCCATTGAAAGAGAGCCTGAGACAGAAGATTAGCATCGAGCAGGGGTATCCAAACCTTTTTCACCGAGGGCCACATACAGACAAATATACGAAGCGCTGGGTCACTCACTAGAGGTATTTTGACTCATAACTTAAGTTATAAATTGGAAAAATCAATCCAATGTAGGTCAATTATTCTTGATACTTGAAAATGCTTTAAGAAAAAACCAGCTCACAGCTCTCCAGAGGGTTTCATTTATTGTGTTGGCAGCTCATTCCTTAAAACTAAAGCTTCAGATTGCTCATCATAAGAGGAAATATGAAGGGTCTATTTCAAGGTTGTTATGTAAATAAGTTATTGGGCTTTTTTCTTATCAACTTAGATTAGTTAGAACATGTTTTCCACTTGACTGAATGTATTTGAAAGTTGGGCCTATTAACACATGAATACTGTGTAATATATTTGAACATATATATTTAAGAAGTACAATATAAGACATGCAGAAGTTTATTATACTTAAGTCAGTATACTTTTTTAATTTGCTGAGTGAGGGCCGATTCAAAATGGTCTGCGGGCCGTAGTTTGGACCCCCTTGGCATTGAGTAAATGCATGTAGAGAGTCGCCTTTCTAACGGCTCTGAATTGGCTCAACATGTAAAGCATAAGGCCTCACAGCACATGAAGCACAGTTTGATTTCCAGCCATAGAAAGCACTTAAATGCTACAGAGCAGAGACTTGTTAGCCACTAAAGGAGCTGTTACTGGAGATCTGGTGATGCTGTTCTGTCAAAGAAACCCACTAAGGTTAAACATGAAGGCCTCAGTAACGTCTGCAGCGCGGTGTTTTATTGCCACTTCATCATCATTAGGGGGCCAGAAAGAAACTGCAGGTCAGACGCCAGGTTTTAGAGAGAGGGGTAATTTTGCCAGTAAATGTGAACTGTCAACTTTAATCCATGATGTCTGAGAATGCACAACATGTCACAGAGAACAGTTCATACAGAGTGAAACAGGAAGTCTGATCAGAGGTCCTATACATGAGAGTAACTAATGCGTCACTTCCGTGCAAAAAGTACGGCTCCGCCCACTTTTGGGGGAAAACAACGCTGTCATTTGAATGGCGGTCAATACACATTCTGAAGTTTTTGCCAATCCGATCAGAAATGTAAGAAAACCGTGGATTTTTGGATCTTCAAAGAACCCGATTACAACGGCCAGACAGGCAAACAATTACATTAAGCCATTGGAAATGGACGATCGGGCTCGATATATGGTTAAATAGAGCAGTAGGCTATCGATTTTCATAGATGAGTAACATCAACGTCACTTTACGGCCACGCCCACTTTTGGGGGAAACAACGCTGTCATTTGAATGGCGATCAAGCCTGAAGCCACAGAGCTGTTCTTCTACTGTCCTTTCTTCTTAGAGGAAGTACAGAAAAACGTAACTCTGGATTTGTTTTAATGTTTGAGGTGCAATAAACGACACAGCAGCATGTTGGCATGATACAACTATTATTTTCCGCCTCGCTCATGAGAGTAACAGCTGGAGAAATTACAGCCTCGCCTACTGATTTTAATTTAACCATATATCGAGACCGATTGTCGATTTCAAATGATTGAATGTAATTGTTTGCCTGACTGGCCATCGTAATCGGGTTCTTTGAAGATCCACAAATCCACGGTTTTCAAATAATTCTGATCGGATTGGCAAAAACTTCAGAATTTGTATTGACCGCCATTCAAATGACAGCGTTGTTTTCCCCCAAAAGTGGGCGGAGCCGTACTTTTTGCCCGGAAGTGACGCAGGTGTTACTCTCATCTATTATGATTTTGGTGGTTTTCCCCTTTCCTTTAGTGTGCTTTTAAAGGTTTTGGTGCATGTAAATGGTCTGCAGAGGCTAAAATCCCTGTTTCTCTGCATCATCTCCTTTGTTTACTTCCGTAACATAGTGAGCATTGTGATTTTTATTTTCTTATTTTTTTTCATTATTAACCTAATTAAGTTTACGTTCGTGAATTTTAGGGTTAAGTATTTTTTATTATTCAAATGAAATTCAAAAAAATGTTTTGATTGATAAAAAACTTGTGAAAATAGGGCAAAAATAATATTTAAAAACCGTTGTTTTACTTTGAAGTATTCTAGCACATAATCAGCACCTAATCTTTGATATTTCTTCTTTTTCCTCCCCACTTTTTTACCACCGGAATATTATAAACTTGTAATTGATGAAGACCATCTTGAGTCTAAACTGCAGTGCTCACTACTTGGCAGAAAGCAAAACAATCTAAGACCTTTACTCCTGGCAAACAGCAGGAATGATGTGCATGTGTTTGTCAGAATTGTTTTAATAGATCATGATACAACCTTTAAAATATGAGAGTAGATGACACATTGATTTGTTGTGTTTGGATCCTTGACATGGCTTCAGCATCAGTATCAGGAATGAACACAATGCAGACGTGTTGAAGTTGAAACCAAATGTCTCTCGATCCGGTTCGATCCCTCTTGGCCCTCTGATGTATTTGCCACTTTACGGAGCTCCAGGGAGAACTAAAAGCAGTCTATAGGAACAAAGTGCTCCTCAGCCAAAGTCCACACATCAGGGCGGTTAGAGGCAACATGTGGGTGCTGCTGCAGAGCGATAAAAACAGCAAGTATGTCCTCTGCCAGTTAAGAGGCTGTTGGGAAGCCATGGATACTTAACTGTTTGTTTTTTATCCCCAAAATGTTCCCGTTCCCCTCGCTTGAAACCACCACGGAGACGTCATATAACCGATTCTGAAGCCTGACGGAACAGAGAGAACATTCATGCACAGATTGGCGTTGTTTCTCCCGCGGTTTGAGGCGATTATTCTGCATAATAGCCAGGTCGTTTAATGAATAATTTGGGCTGCGACTGAGCTCTTCCAGATGGCTTTAATCAAATGCCACCCTTTCACATTTCAGCAGTTTGGTGAAGGAGTCATTCCTGCAGGATGATGGGTATTATTCTGGATTACTGATGGTCATGAGGTGCCCACAAAAAACATCATGCAGTGATGTGTTTTCAATGTGCACACACGATATTTATCATTGCTTAAAAACAAATCCACAAATAAAAAAATAATATTTAAAAACTCCACAAATATATTTCTGATCCCCGCATAAATATTTCTTGTTTAAAATAAATATTATATATACCAACAAATATTTCACATGTATTTAAAACAAGAAATATGTATGTCTGGATCAGAATGATATATTTTAAACTTAAGTTTATACATGTGGATGTTTTTATATATTTTTTAAATAATTTATAGCAAAAAAACTATCTGTGAGAGAAAATAAATATATATATATATATATATATATATATATATATACATTATATAGATTTTTAAAGTCATTCTCTGGGTTTTCATTTATATTAAAACTGATCTGACGCCATAGCGTTTCTTCGCATGGTTCTGTTGCATTATTTCTTAACGCTTTTATAATTTTTGTCAAGCACTTTAAATTGCCTTGTGTTGAAATATGCAATTTCTTCAAGGATTCAAGGCTTTTATTGTCATTCGTACATAGCTACAGTGTAGTTATGACAATGAAAATCTTAGGTTGCAGGCTCCTCCAACAGTGCAACACAATACAACTGATAATAGTGCAAGTAAATACAATAAAATATAATATAATTGCCTTGCCTCCTGCAGTACTTATACTACCTACAGTGAGTTACTTTAGTTACTAGATGTCTTCTTGTTTCCACAGAGGTAGCAGCGAGACACAGCCAAAGGGACGGTGACCCCCCCCCCCCCCCCCCCCCCCCTCCGAGGCGACATGGAGCTCCAGGCGTCTCAGCTGGCAGTCGAGGGGGACTTTGAGATGTCCTGCCTGCTGCTGCCGAGCCCTCAGAGCGAGGCGGTGACCCACGAGATGGAGGAGCTGTCGCTGCAGCCGCTGCCTCCGCTCAACGAACGCAAGAATGGTGAGGACACGACGCTGATGTAGTGCACGTCTGTGAGGCCATGTTGGGATAGGATATATATTATAACAGGAGGAAAGAGTGACCGGAAAATACCTTTCACACTTCCTTCTATCCAAAAGATGCCATTCAGCAGGACATAAATAGGACATAAAAATGTTTTATTCTTCATGCAAAAAATGGATAAGGGGTTACAAATGCATAACCATCTTGCTAAACACACCCACTGAATTGAATTTAGCATACATTAAACTCATAAACATAACAAGCTTATATATTTATATGTATATTACCATCATGCAACTCCTCCAGCATGGTGTCACTTAGGGAAGTAACTCTGCGCTGGGCTCCGCAAAAAATAGGATGCAAGTCTATTTTCGACGCGACGCGAGGCGTGGCATAGCGCCGGGCAGGAAGTGGAGCGGTCAGAGCATCCAGTCAATCCCCAAAATAAACTAATTTTGCAGACCCTATCCCTCCGTAGTCTTTCAAGTAGGAGGAGAAATGCCAGCGTTCTCCTCCGGTTTACAGGCACTGTGTCAATTATATATATATATATAGAATAATTATGATGATGAATGCATTTTTTTTACCACTAAAATACAGCAACACATCTTTGATTCATGTCGTTCGACTATTACAATTATTATTAACTTTGTCTGTACAAAGTAACCTGTCCAGGAAATATGACCAAATCAACAAAAACTGCGAGCCGGCACGCACGACGCTCCGCTTCTGAAATGCTTCTGAAACGCGGCCGGTGGGTTATGACGCCGCAGGAGGAGGCCGGACCAAAACGGCGGCGCAGCCGTAACGCGACGCAGACGGACCCGGTGGAACCGAGGGTTACTCTGATGTAAACAAAGATCTAATGGGACATAAATACGTTTAGCTGCTGCCTCTGTCCACATCAGTGCATTGCTTTACTTCCATTTCTTCATGTGGATATCTACCTCATGCAACCCAGTTAAAAACGATACCTTTCGGTACACATGCACACAGGCACGTACTGAATAAATCATCTATTCATCTGAAAACGGGCCATTAAAGTGAGACTTTCTACCCTGAAACTCCCATCAGTTTTCCTGCAGTGTGCACGTCGGCTTCTCAGGACTTCGGTGTCGTTCTGGCAGCTTTACGGGACGCTGATGGATGGGAACACGATTAACAGACTTAAGGAGTGGGTTAGATCCGCTGCTGCTTTTGCCAGTTCCTAATCACGGCTTAGACGGTGTAGTGAGATCAGATCAGTGCATCTATACATCACCACGATAAGATAAACCATGTGTCACAAACGCCAGCCAGAGCTGTGGATTAAACTCATTTGGGATAATGGTAGGATTTGGGTCTGTCTGCAGGAGCGCTGCAACACGTCTGGAACATTTCTGAGGAATGCCAACAGTAGTAGCACCCACTCATCATCTGGGCTTTTGTCATTTCTCTCCCAGTGAGAACTCACACCTCATACTTTCCACTCGGCGAGCCATCCCCAGCACGTTGCCCACCGCATACTTCCCCTCCCTCGTATTGGTTTAAACACACAGGTGTTAATCTGTCAACCATCCGGACAGGTCTGAGTGTCTGAGATAACTTCACATGTTTGTCGAAAAGTCGAAAAAGAAGAGTAGAGAGCTGCTGTCAGTAAACTACTGAAGTGTAGAAATACTGCTACAAGTACAATTCCTGCATCCAAACTCTTACTTCAAGTGGCTCTATTATGCTTTTTGGGGGTTTTCCCTTTCCTGTAGTGTGTTGTTGTTGTTGTTGTTGTTGTTGTTGTGCAGGTACTGTGAATGGTCTGCAAAGGCTTGTATTACTTCATTAATTAAGAAGAAGAAGAAGAAGATGGACCTTTAAGGGGGAAATTCAGTTTCCACTCTGTCGTACACACACGCGTTTTTATACAGGTAATACAGTACACACTTTTTACAACATGCACATACAAATACACACACAGTTATATGCACACATGCACATGCAGTTGAGAGGTCAGAGCGAAGGCAGCCAGTCTAGCCGGCGCCAGTGAGCAGTTGGGGGTTAGGTGCCTTGCTCACGGGCACTTCGGCAGTGGCCCAGGAGGTGAACTGGCCCCTCTCCAGTACCAGTCAACACTCCGTATTTTTTGGTCCGATCGGGACGTGAACCGGCGACGCTTCGGTCCAAAGTCCACGTTTTTTTTAATGATTAAACAAAAAAATAACATGTTAATTAGTGATCTTAAGAGGCGCTTGAAGGCGGATTCTCTCCCCCCCCCTTGGAGAAAGATATGCTAGCTGATTTATTGTGTTCCCAGTCTTAATGCTAGACTATGACACACAGTGGTGATAAACTCCCATCTAACTCGACAAGAAAAACAAGTGTATTCCCATAAATGTCAAACAAGTTGCATCATGTCTATATTCATGTCAATTCTGGGTCTTTTTATACCCCGGATTCTTCGTTAGCTTCAGTTGATCAGCTATGATTGGCCAACTTGTGTCCTGTTTCGGTTGTTCAACAGGTTTTAAATCAACGTCTATATATTGTGTTCAGGTGAAACAAACACATCTCTTATTCTGGCCTGTTTTTCTTCCATTGACCTGCTCTCTGCGTGCCTCTGTGAGTGCAAACACATCTCAGTCATCAACCTCTCTCTCAGCCAGAACAGGTCACAGGTCAGCATGTTTGTCAGGCTGAGCAGCATTTCCCGGAGGATCCCAAGACAATGACACTGACTGGAAGTCTATACACACTGCATACCTTTTTTCCAGCTATTCCCTGAGTGAATTTGAGGATAAGGATGCATAGCGCCTTTACAACAAGCCCTGCAAAATGTCTACCAGAGTATATTGTCTGTAGACAACGTGTGTAAAAGTTTAACCATAACTGAACTTGGTTTTAAAGCTGCAGTATTCCCAGACAGAGTTAGGTCATTTGGATATATGACAATTGTGATGACGCAATCTATGGTATTACCTTGGAAGAAAGATTTTGTGTTTTATCACCACATTGATGAGGGGGGGCACAAGCTGTAACGTTGGTAGGGCCAGCTGTTTCCTGTTGGAGAGAGTACGCTTGTATTTCCTTGTAAATGTTGATGCATCCCCTCCTGTGAATGGGGAAGTGTGTGGACTTATGGTCAGTATTTAATTAGAGCACCTCCTCTTACTGAATGTGACACATCCTTATCTTGTCGGCTCAGCAAGACAACATAAAAGCCTAAAAACAGTCTTTACAGCGTTAACCCTTAGATGCCCGAGTGACTGGACCCTACACTCTTCCATAAGTGGGTCAAAAAGGACCCGTATTAGAATAATAATTGGTTTTATGTCATTTTTGTCATTTTGGTTAAGAGAAATCACTTGTATAATATTTAGTATTATATTTTGGTTCACACTAGAAATATTTTATATTTAATTTTTCACTATTTATAATTTTAAACATTTTTTTTACATTTTGAAAAAAAAAGGTTTTCCCATAGGATTCCATAGAAAATGCATTCGGGTCATTTTTGACCCACTTATGGAAGCTTGGGGTAGTAATACAAAAACTACAATTTCTTAAAATGTAAATTACAAATGTGAATGGCATGATATCCAAAACATGTTTTTTGAGGAATAGGGGTAGTGGTGGTCAAATAGATAGTGAGGTGGGCTGAAGATCGGAAGGTTGTGAGTTCAAATCCCGCCAGGAACACCACCACTAGTGTGCCCTTGAGTAAGGCACTTAGCCCTCAGTTACTCCAGGGACAATGTCCCTGTAATCGCTAATTAGTAAGTCGCTTTGGATAAAAGCGTCAGCTAAATGTAATGTAATGTAATGAATAGCTGGAATATGAAATGATAAAAAAATGTAATTACAAAGATACTTCAAGAAAACCACCTCACCGGGTCAAAAAAGACCCACTTATGCATCTAAGGGTTAAAGAGGCCCTATTTTGCTTATTACTAGGTACATATTAGTATTTGTACATGCTTTAATATTCAAAAAGCTCTTTATTTTTCTCATTCTGCCTGTGCTGCAGCACCTCTTTTCACCCTCTGTCTGAAACCAGAGCCCAGTCTGCTCTGATTGGTTAGCTGGTCGGCTCTGTTTTGGTTGTTTAACCGGTTAGAGATGTCCCGCCCCTCAGCCTATCACGTGTGTTGGAGCGCGAGTGTTACATAGTGATGTCTGTATGTTATGGAAGTAAACAAAGGGGTCCAATGGAGGAGTTTCAGGCAGCCTTTGAAGACCATTAACATGCACACAAACCTATATAACACACTACAGGAAAGGAAAGCCCTGAGGTTAATAGGGCCCCTCTTAAGATGCAGTGGTTATTGTCCTTACTCAGTGCTGACTCAGACTGTCCCTCAGTAGGAGCCAGAGTAGACATCACATCAGGGTATGTTGGTATCGCCTACAGCCAGAAAAAAACCCCGTTCTAAACTTTGCTGAGTGAGGGAGGGGAGGGAAGTAAAGGGGGAGGAGGAGGGGGTTGTGGCTGCAGTAAAAAAAAAAGTAGTCTGGGAGGAATAAAGGAATAGAGGATGGGCCTAATGTTGCTCCTCTAATTCGTAGAAGCATTCGGCCGATCATGTTGCACTGCAGCTGAGAGGATATCACTATAAGCTACATCTGTTGGGCTCTAACACAAAGGCTCTGGGATCTAATGGCTTAATCCCCCAGAGTTTGGACTGATTTAAAGGCTTGTTTATATAAAAGACAGACAATGGCCTGTATGGAGGTAGAGACCCCCATCTGCACTAGGTTCAGAACAGGTGAGCACTCTTTTTTTAATGTTATGCTACTTCCTCAACTCACCTAGGCTAATGCTGTTGCCATTGTTGCAGGTTAATGAAACAACTTGATAATACACTTTGGTGGGTTGTTGTCAGTCTTTGCATCTCATGATAGCCTTGTAATGTTTTGTTTTCTGGGTAGCATCTTAAAGTGGAAGGATAGAGATTAGTGTTCAAAAATATAGATTTTTCGACACATCATTTCTGAATATTTGAAATGGTTTCAATACAAATGTTATATTTCTCAATACACCAGTACCAGCTGAGCTTTCTTGCTTTACACACACACACACACACACACACACACACACACACACACACACACGCGCGCACACAGTCACACAGTCGCATTGCACACTACAAAGTCATACAAATCTGTGAAAACACTGGCCTTGTTTTATTTAGTCCATTTCTCACTGTGGTATCAAACACACACACACACACACACACACACACACACACACACACACACACACACACACACACACAACAAACTCATACAACTCTGACAAAACACTAGCCTTGTTTTATAAGCCTTTCTTCAATTAGTCCATTTCTCACTGTGGTATCAAAACCGGTATTCAATGCTGCTGTTTCTATAAGGTATTGTTTTAAAATGTTAAATTCCAGTATCTTCAAAACACTACCTGTGACAGCATGTGAAAGGACACACTCTGGCAACAACAAAGAGATGTTTACGGGGGAAATGAATTGTTACACTATCCCATTCTTAAACAACTATTGCAACTTCAGTTTACCTTATAGGTGTGAGATCAAAAAAAGTCCCTCATATGCCAGCACAGAAATAGTTCCACTACAGTACCATGCACTTATGTGTGCAAACAATGTATTTCAATGTGCTCGACTGGTATGATAACTTACATATAAATGACGTTATTGTATGTTGTCGACCTAATGACTAGTAAGCAGGAAGTGAGAGATGTGTTTGAGGAGGATAGCAGTCAGTATGTGGTTACCTTCTCATCATGTCATTTCTTCTGTATTTATTTTCCCTTTTATATATTTATATTCTTCTGTGTGCTTTCCCTCTCATGTTTTACCTCTTATTTTATTTAACATAATTTCTTCTTTCTTCTTTCAGTGCTGCAGTTGAGGCTTCAGCAGAGGCGGACCCGCGAGCAGCTGGTGGATCAGGGCATCATGCCACGTGAGTCAGCTGTCCATCACTGATAGATCGGCTAATGAACCCAGATAGCTGAAATAATAAACATTTTTTAATCTATTTTTATCTAGATAATTTATCTTTAAAGTTTTGTTCAGACTGAATGGACCTAACAGCACCTAAAGCTCACTCAGTACCACATGTAACATTCAAGATTCAACGGTTTTATTGTCATATGCACAAAGCTACAGTGTAGAAATGGCAATGAAAATGTTATGACCTGAGTAGTGCAACAAGTCTATATTCATTTAAATAGAATATGATATGTACAAGAACAGAATATGAAATAGAATAATGTAAATTAAGACAAAATTAAATACGGTTTATAGCGTTGATAACATGCAAGAAAACACAGTATCTTATCATTTATTCTCTGCAAACGAGTGTAAAAGTTATGCTATCACTTAGTGCATTGATGAAACTGTTGTGTGTTGCAGCTCTGAAGAGCCCAGCTGCTTTCCATGGGCAGATTCGCAGCTTGGAGAGAGCCAGGGTAAGGCACAGAGTTTGGAAATAAAGTGCTAACTGTGGTTTCAGAAAACACACTCCTGGAATAGCAAAAGAGGATTAACTTGAATGTTTTTCGTTCTATTTAGACGGAGAATTTCCTCAAGCACAAGATCCGCAGCCGTCCGGAGAGAGCAGAGCTGATCAGGATGCACATCCTGCAAGGTACCAGTCATTCTCTAGTCTTTACTACAGACATGTATTATCTATTTTCATTATTATCTAGTAGGTTCACATAGGCACGAATTAAACCCACCGCACAGGGTTTTACGTGTAGCTACCGCCTTTTACTCCAGTTATTCTCTTCTAGTGGTTCAAAGAAACACAAGGAGCAAATGCTAGGAGTTGAATTCCCATTTAAATAAAGTTATGAACTGCATGCCAAACTATTCAACTCGCACAAGTGGTCTAAAACTGTTTGCTTCACCTGTCTCTTCGTCGCTCTGTGTGTGAAGAGAGGCTAAGTTAGGTGAAACCCGAGATCAGAAGATATTAAGGACCATGTGGCGTTTTTAATTCTACATTTAATTATAGGGTAAACACTGAACCTTAATATTATCTGCAACTGTACACAAATACAGAGTTTAAAATAGTCATGCAAAAAAAAATGGAATATGCACAGCGTTCAAATGGAGATTTATACATTTGAATGTCAACGTTACGACTGATTCGAGCAATTGTGTGACATCTTTTCACTTTCTCCTCAGAGACCGGAGCAGAACCATCACTACAGGCCACCCAGATGAGACTGAAAAGAGCCCGGCTTGCCGACAACTTAAACGAAATGATCTCCCAGAGACCCGGCCCCATGGAGCTGGTGGAGAAAAACATCCTGCCGGTGGATTCCAGCGTTAAACAGGCAATAATCGGTGAGAGAACAGTGATCATAGCCAGGGCTTTCAGAGCATTTCTGCCTTAATGGACACTGTCCGAAAGAGGTTGTTGCAGAGAAAGGATGATAAACACTGACAATAAAAAGAGAGAGAATCTTTTTTCCTGAAACTTTCAGAGTCTCTTTACACAGAGGCGACACATGTTTATGTATAAAAGACATGAACAAGTGGATTTTGCATAATAGGTGACCTTTAAGAGCAGGGGTGTCCAAGCTTATACGAAATATACGAAGGGCTGGGCCGCTCACTAGAGGTATATTGCTTCATAAGTTCTGTTATAAGTTAGCAAAATCAATCAACTGTAGGTAAATGATGATTGTGAGTGTTGGCAGCTCATCCCTTACAACAGAAACCTCAGATTGATTATAATAAGGAGAAATAGGAAGGGTGTATTTCAAGCTTGTTATGTAAATAAGTCATTGGGCTTTTTTCTTATCAACTAAGATTTGTTAGAAAATGTTTCCAACTTGACTGAATTTATTTGAAAAGTGGTCTTCTTAACACATGAATACTACTGTGTGTGTGTAGGGGAAACTTCTGAAGTAATAATAATAATAATAATAGATTTATTTTGTTAGTGCTTTTACAGGTGCTCAAAGACGCTTTACAGATATAGTGAAAAGAAAAGAACAACAAATAAATATATATAGTTAAAGTCAAATTAAAATCAAGCAATACAAACACAATCACACATTAAAAGCCAGATTGAAGAGGTGAGTTTTTGTAAGTGTTTTGAAGGTGGTGAGGTCAGTGCAGTCTCTGATGGGTTGTGGGAGTGAGTTCCAGAGGGAGGGGGCAGCGACGGAGAAGACTCAGTCCCCCCAGGTCCGGTGCTTGGTGGGGATGGATAGGAGGTTGGTTTCTGATGAGCGGAGGCAGCGGGAGGGGGTGTGGTGGTGCAGCAGGTCTGTGAGGTAGGGGGAGGGGGTGTGGTGGTGCAGCAGGTCTGTGAGGTAAGGGGGGGGGCCTGGTTGTTGAGGGCTTTGTGAGTAATCAGGAGGACTTTGAAGTCGATTCTTTGACGGACGGTGAGCCAGTGGAGGTTCTGGAGGACGGGAGTGATGTGGTCTAAGGGGGCGGGTGTGGGTGAGGAGGCGGGCAGCAGAGTTCTGGATATGTTGGAGTTTATTGAGGAGGTTGGATGGTATGCCGTAGGATGCTATTGCAGTAGTCGAGTCGTGATGTGATTAATGCATGAATCAGGCTTTCAGCAGCAGAGGAGGAGAGTGATGGGCGCAGACGGGCAATGTTTTTGAGGTGGAAAAAGGCAGTCCTGTAATGGGTAAGTAATGGGAGTCAGGACTCAGAGAGGCACGAGGAGAGCTGGAGCTTTGATGGCAAACACTGACGGTTTATTTGGAGCTTCGGCCGGAGAATTCACAAGACATGTCACGGGTTTGAACACACGGTTGAGATGCCACAATCAATTCTGAAGAGCCCTCCTGTAGCTAACTAGTTCAGAGTGTAATAATCAACATTCTTCAATAGATAGACTAAACAGCTGAGGGACACTGAATCACATTTGTTGTCGCTTAGGGCTCGGGAAGGATGTGTTCCAGGTGTCCCACAACAATAAATATCTCTGACAGAGAGTTGCCCGGTCATAAACTGGTAACATCAACAACTTGCTAGGGCAGCCCCTCCTTATGGGAGATAACGGCTGATCAAGGTTGGTCAGCTGCTTCAGAGGGCGAAAGGTAAACATGTAGGGCGAAATTATTCCCTGACACTGTGTAATATATTTTTACATTTATAGTTAAGAAGGACAATATAAGACAAGCACAAGTTTCATTTGTGGGCCGTATTCCATTATACTTTTTTAATTTGATGAGGGCCGATTCAAAATGTTTGGACACCCCTGGTTTAAGAGCATTTCTGTCTCAATGGACATGTCAGAGAAAGGATGATAAACTACAAATTATATTTTGACTGTTAAAGTGAGTAAACAGTGAGGGCTTGTTGTTGTCTCTTAGTAGGCCAGGTGAATTACCCCAAAGTGTTGGAGGAGGACAGCAGTGAGGCTCTGTCCCCGGAGCAGCCGGCCAGCCAGGAGTCCCAGGCCTCAGTCCCGTCTCCTGCAGAGAGCCGAGTGCCAGAGACCCCCCCCTCCAGCCCCAGCAGCACCTCCTCTTCCTCCAGCCCCAGCAGCACCTCCTCTTCCTCCAGCTATGCCCAACACCATGCTGCAGGTCAGACACAGCACTCTTAATGCTCATGTTTGTGTAAGCACGGCTATAGTTGCCCGTAATCACATGCCTTTTGTCAAATTGTAATGATTGTAATTCGTGAGTTTTACTTAACAGACTGTACGTGTCCTGTTTGTTTCTCATGCTTTGCTTTCTGTTATTGTGTCCATGTATGTCTGTAAGTAAGACGTTGCTTTTGTCGGGACCCCCTTGAAAACGAGACGGTGCATCTCAAGGGGTTTATCCTAATAAATAAATGTCTATATATGCCCACCTAGGCCCCTTAGTCTGCAAGGATATCTTATGTCTGACTCCATGAAAACACTTTTGTTAAAACCCGATTTACTCAGAGGCAGGTCAAACTTGAACAAAGGTTAATTGAAAGTAAATGAATGAATCGCTGTATATTATTTAGATTCAAATTGGCTCGACTGGTCCACTACCGCCTTGTTGATCCTAAAGAAGGCAAAATGCTACTTGACTGCAGCTCATAACTATACTACACAACATTGGTATTCATTTGAAGGATATTCAAAGATATTTGGTCGATCATACCAACATCTTTCCTCGAATATAAATATGTAATAATATAAATACTCTGTCTGTCTATCTCTGTCTGTCTGTCTGTCTGTCTGTCTGTCTGTCTGTCTGTCTGTCTGTCTGTCTGTCTATCTGTCTGTCTGTCTGTCTGTCTGTCTGTCTGTCTGTCTGTCTGTCTGTCTGTCTGTCTGTCTGTCTGTCTGTCTGTCTGTCTGTCTGTCTGTCTGTCTGTCTGTCTGTCTGTCTGTCTGTCTGTCTGTCTGTCTGTCTGTCTGTCTGTCTGTCTGTCTGTCTGTCTGTCTGTCTGTCTGTCTGTCTGTCTGTCTGTCTGTCTGTCTGTCTGTCTGTCTGTCTGTCTGTCTGTCTGTCTGTCTGTCTGTCTGTCTGTCTGTCTATCTATCTATCTATCTGTCTATCTATCTATCTATCCATATAAATATGTGCTTAAGTGGCTCTCATAAAGCCCTAATTAGATCAGATTAGATCAACTTTATTGATTCTAAATTGGAAAACATATTGGCACAGTGAGATAAAATATAATAAAAAATAAACTAATAATAAAGCAGAAACAGTAAATGTATACATATCAACAGTAAAAAACATTGTATCCAAAAAATACACAAAATAAAATATACAGAAATATTTGATATATTAGATATATATTGGTCTATCATATACTATATAATAGACCAATCTACTACTATAACAACAATATATAAAAACGTAGGATACTATATACATTTTAAAAAGTGTGAAGTAGTTGAAGTTGGTTTTAATAAAAAATGTAATTTAGTATAAAATTACCCCAACTAGTTGTAGCTAAGTCCCATTAATAGTAGATTTTACAGTTATTAAAATAAGTCTATTGTTTGCATTACAGTAACAAGTGTCTTCTTGTGCTTCTTCAGTCCTTCCCTAATACAACAAAAGCAACAACAGACTTTATGAAGCTGGTCTCTGCCATAGAGACTCCTCGTCCTGCTGTCACTCAGCCGCCTGCTCCTCACAAACCAGCACCCACCCTGGTGAAGGTAAGAGCAATATTTACAACCTTTAAATATGACAAAACCCCTCATTATATATTTGTCCGGCAGTGGCTCAGTCAGTAGGGGACTTGGACTGTGAGCCGTAGGGTCGCCGGTTCAAGTCCCCGACCAGACCTAAAAATGGAGTGTGGACTGCTACTTGGAGAGGTCCCAGTTCACCTCCTGCCCTGCCGTGGTGCCCTTGAGCAAGGCACCGGACATTTTATGCTGCTGCAACGCAAACATTTCCCAAATCGGGATCAATAAAGTATCTATCTACCTATCCATCCATCTATCCATCTATCTATCCATCTATCCATCTATCCATCCATCTATCCATCTATCTATCCATCTATCCATCTATCCATCCATCTATCCATCTATCCATCTATCCATCCATCTATCCATCTATCCATCTATCCATCTATCCGTCTATCTATCTATCTATCTATCTATCCATCCATCCATCTATCCATCTATCCATCCATCCATCTATCCATCTATCTATCTATCCATCATCCAAGCGAGCCAGCCAGCCAGCCAGCGAGCCAGCGAGCAAGCGAGCCACGAGCCAGCGAGCAGCCAGCCAGCCAGCGAGCCACAGAGAGCCAGAGAGCAACCAGCGAGGAGCAGCGAGCCGGCGAGCCAGCCAGCGAGCCAGTCAGCCAGCGAGGCAGCCAGAGAGCAGAGAGAGACCAGCCAGAGCCAGCGAGCCAGCCAGCGAGCAGCGAGAGAGCGAGCGAGCAGAGAGCCAGCCCAGCCAGAGAGCCAGCCAGCGACACCATGCGAGCCAGCGAGCCAGCGAGCCAGCGAGCCAGCGAGCAGCGAGCAGCGAGCCAGCGAGCCAGCGAGCAGGCGAGCGAGCCCCAGCCAGCGAGCCAGCCAGCGAGCCAGCCAGCGAGCCAGCGAGCCAGCGAGCCAGAGAGCCAGCTAGCCAGCGAGCCAGCGAGCGAGCCAGCGCAGTCTATCTATCCATCTATCCATCTATCCATCCATCCATCTATCCATCCCATCTATCCATCCATCTATCCATCTATCCATCTATCCATCTATCCATCTATCCATCTATCCATCTATCTATCCATCTATCCATCCATCCATCTATCCATCCATCTATCCATCCATCTATCCCATCTATCCATCTATCCATCTATCCATCTATCCATCTATCCATCTATCCATCTATCCATCTATCCATCTATCCGTCTATCCATCCATCTATCCATCCATCTATCTATCCATCTATCCATCCATCTATCCATCCATCCATCTATCCATCTATCCATCTAAATGCTGCTGGACAAATTGTAAATGTTCTTGTTTCCTCCCTCTACAGCAAAGCCAGCAGAAGTCTCCCTCGGAGAAGAGCCGCAGTAAGAAGAACAAAGAGCCCAAGTCCAGGGTGAAGAAGCTGAAGTACCACCAGTACGTTCCTCCGGACCAGAAGCTGGAGGCCAGCGAGGATCTCATGGACTCTTCCTACGCCCGACTGCTGCAGCAACAGCAGCTCTTCCTCCAGCTGCAGATCATCAGCCAGCAGCAGCAGCACTACAACTACCAGACCATCCTGCCCGCGCCACTCAAGTAGGTTCATAAAGCACTTGAAAGTAGTGAGAAAAGTATGGCAGCCCTGAGAGGCAAGAGAGAAAGGGAAGACTTCTGCTGATCCATTTTATAAGTCTGATATCAAAATAATGTTTTTGTGTGTTATGATGAATTCCTTGATTTCTTATTTTATTTGTGAAAGAGGTATGGGGGGGAAACTATTTAAAAATGCAAATAAGCTCCTGCACACTGTCTTACTTGCAAAAAGTTGCACCTGTCTCATGAAATAGATGTGCGGTTTTAGTACGTTTTGTTGTGGTAACACTGACTTTGGCCACAAGAGGCTAAAGATCACCCATACAATATTTTTAAATAAAATTAAAAGCAAGTTTATAGATGCAGGGAGATGGCAAAAATCTACTTCATTCACATATTTATATATATATATATATATATATATAGTCCGGCGGTGGCTCAGTCAGTAGGGGACTTGGACTGTGAGCCGTAGGGTTGCTGGTTCAAGTCCCCGACCAGACCTAAAATATGGAGTGTGGACTGCTACTTGGAGAGGTCTCAGTTCACCTCCTGCCCTGCCGTGGTGCCCTTGAGCAAGTCACCGGACACCCCCCTTCCCCCCTCACTCCCATTTCTCCCCGGGCGCTGTACAATAGCTGCCCACTGCTCCTGGTGCTAGACTCCTGGTACTAGACTCCTGGTGCTAGACTCCTGGTGCTAGACTCCTGGTGCTAGACTCCTGGTACTAGACTCCTGGTACTAGGATGGGTTAAATGCAGAGAACACATGTGTGCTGTGTGCTCTGCATGTGTGACCACTAAAGAGGGGTTCATCCCTCCCAATTCTATTCTATTTAAAAAAATCAGACTCGGAAAATGCATCACCAGACAAAATAATCACTTGCCTCTCAGAGCTTCCATATAAATACTTTTTTATTTCTTGTTTTGCTTACCTCCATTGCCCTTTATCTAAAAACACCTGAAAGTCAAACATTGATGTTTTCAATGACCCAGAGGGCCTTTAGATAGTTTCCAATAACAACTCTGTGTGTAATGGAATTAACAGGGTGTTCACCAGCTGCTGTTCCCATACATATGCTCCATTCAACACACTGTGAACTGTGGTTGGTTGACAGTTTTGTTAGTGAGGCACAGGATGGATGGTTTGTTCATATTGAAAAACACACTTCCCCTTCTTCCTGTCTTTCATTCCCCTTCAGCAATCTCTCCAATAGTACTCCTTTGTCCCCCTTTCCTCTCTCTCCCACCTTCTCTTCCTCTCTTCTCATGTGCATCACATGTGTAAATGTGTAAAAGGAGGTAGTGTAAATGATTTCCTGACTGACCTCCATGTTTTCTGTGTGTTTGTCCCTGCAGGCCTGTGGCAGAGGGTCAGAGCTCCATCATGGTGTCTCTAGCTCCTCCATCTTCCTCCGACGCACCGCCTGCTCTTCGTCCAAACAACTCGCTCTCCAACCGCAAGCCGGGAGTCCTGCCCGCCAACCTGGAGGAGATGAAGGTAGCTGCAAACCCCCTCACTGTACATCTTACATTTATATTCAATATTCAATCAATCAATCAATGTTTATTTATATAGCCCAATATCACAAATGTTACATTTGTCTCAGTGGACTTCACAGTTTGTACAGAATATCAGTATGACAACACGACACCCTCTGTCCTTAGACCCTCACATCGTACAAGGAAACACTTCCAAAGAAACCCCACAGTTTAAAGGGGAACATGGGAGAAACCTCAGGGAGAGCAACAGAGGAGGGATCCCTCTCCCAGGACGGACAGACGTGCAATAGATGCCGTGTGTAAATTGAAGAGATAATACATTTACAGCATAGGTAGACCAAATGTTTGCAAATGCATGTGATAAGAGGATGAATCCACAAGGATGTCAATAATCCTGTGGGAGCCATGAGAGAAGTAGTATGATGAGTCAGGCAGGACCGCAGTGACAGGTTCAGATACTGATCTGTATCACCCTCTTACATTTGTACATTTGCATTTGCAGGTGGCTGAGCTGAAACTGGAGCTGAAGCTGCGCGGCCTCCCCGTGTCGGGAACTAAAACTGATCTGATCGAGCGGCTGAAGCCTTTCCAGGAGAACCACAACACCTCCGCTCCGACCAACAACTCTATCTCCACCACCAACATGCAGATGGAGGTCAAAACCAGTGTCCTTTCTCCACATGAGAACATGAACCCGACATCGCCACTCTCACCAATCCCCGCCGAGCGCTCCACCCAGGACGGAGGAAAACCTGAGACTCCATCATTTGAAACGCACATGGTGACCTCCAACTGGACCCCCACCTTCCAGTCTTTCCAAATCCCCCAGGAGAAGGACATGCGGCTGCACGAGAAGGAGCAGCAGATCGTGGAGCTGATGAAGAAGCTGGAGCAGGAGCAGAAGCTGGTGGAGGAGCTGAAGATGCAGCTGGAGGTGGAGAAGAGAGGCTGCTCAGCTGACTCTCCCACCGTCACCTCTCCACCTGCCGTGAATCCCACTCTCCTGAACTCTAACGTAGTCAAAATGGAAGGAGCAGTGCTATCAAACTGTGCATCCACCACTGCTACCATCCCTAATCAGATCCTGGGCTCCACCTCTCTCTCTCCTCGGCCCACGGTGGTGAAGTTGGAGGATCTGACTGTTTCCTCTGGGAAGCCGATTCAGACCCAGACGCAGCTCATCCCTCAGATCCAGCCCCAGATCACCAGCAGGAGTCCCAAACTGCAGACCCAGCAGTTCTTCATCAGCCACCAGGGCAGGGTGGTGCCTCAGACGCTGCTGACCACCACCGGACAGGCGGGGACTCAGATCCTCCTCCCAGTGTCGCTGCCTAGCAACGCAACTGCCATCCAGCTGCCCGGCAACACCGTCAGCCTGCAGGTGAGCAGCAGTAAAGTCTTTATTGAGTGTTTTTTAAATGCCATTTTATAATATGTGTCTTAATGTCTTGTATATGACTGTATATCGCAGGTTTTTCATTCATGGTTAAACAGTTACAATACTTATCCAAAATAAATGGATGAACAGTTTAGATATTTAGCTTGAAGTTACAAATAGCATTTCAAATGGAAAGCTAAAATGAATGGATAAACTGTTCAAATGTTGAGCTTAACATACGTGGATAAAGAGTTAAAATCTAGGTAAAATAACGCATGAACATTTAAATTATTCAGGTAAAATTAATGGTTAAACATTTCAAATAGTTAGCATTTCAAATAGTAAGCTAAACTAATGAATAGTTGAAATATGACGTTTTGCTGGGTGTCCCATGCATGCTAGTGGCGTTTCTTTATAACCAATCGGTTGTCAGCTGTGTTTTGACTCCACCTTCTAGTACTGGCTCAGCTTATTCTAACCTTTATTGAGGTGGCACCAAAAAAGCACGATCATAAAAGTACTAAAGTACCTAAAAATAGCTGGATGAGTTGAGCAGAGACCTAAATGCAGCATTAGATCACTGTTGGAGTGTGTTCTCCAGCTTTAGGGGTTTACAAAGACGTGTAAACTCACAATTATGTTCTTCCGTCCTCTCCCATGATCTCAGCCTGTTCTGCAGACCACAGTCCAGAATCCAGGCCTGGTGCACGCCTCGGGTCCTCAGCTGCAAACCACTAAGATGGAGGCGTCACCGAGGCAACAGTTAACCAACAACAACAACAACTCCCTGCTGCAGGTCAGAACCTCAAACAGCTGCATTCGTGTGAGAAATGTTGCTTTGTTTAACATTATGAAAGGTCATCAGATACAATTACTAGAGCCTGATAATAGAAAAAAAGTTAGATAGTTAACTAAAGTAGAAGTAACGGGTATAAAAATACTTATTTTAAAGATTTTAAACTCCCTCTTGTGCCTCGACAGACTCTGACGATGTGCAACAACTCTTCTGGTTTGGAGAACCAGGCGAGGCCGGATCTGAGTCCCCAGAGTTTCCTGAGAAGCTCTCCCGACAACAGAGTCTCTCCACGGGCTTCCCCCAACAGCCACACCTCCAACGGACCCCTCAACAAGGTACCAGAGCTTCAGTCTGTACTATAGCTGTATACTGTTGGTTGTTTTTATGATTTATATCAGGGGTGGGGAACCTTTTTCCTCTCAAGGGCCATTTACATTTTTACAACATCCTCGGAGGGCCGTACAAATTATTGAACTCAATCTCTGCTTAAAGATGTCGCCTTTCTTTCATGTTGTGCAAAGAAAAAGCAACCTCTTAATCCAGATATCTTACCATGACTCGCGCATGACCACCAAAACAGAAAGATATGGACACAAGATGTACGGCTCCTTATGGGTACTGCAATTTCTGAAGTGCCGGAGCGGCGTTCCGGTGCTCTCCGTCAGAACTACACCCCTGTCAGACGAGACATACACCACGTGATAACGCGTTAGGCTCGTGTTGTGTTCAAGGACCCTGACCTTGGCCAGGAAAACAGGCACTCGCTTGTTTAATTCTTTTGCGGTCTAGATTTCTTTAATTTTTTTTTTTGCGTGTGTTTATAAATTACCTCGAGGGCCGTATCAAATGGTCTCGCGGACCGTATACGGCCCGGAGGCCGGAGGTTCCCCACCCCTGATTTATAGAGACATTTGCACATTGCTTAGACAATTTTCCACATTTTTCTATACAGCTTTTATTTGTATTTAGTTATTTTGCATATTTTATATTTTATGTAGTTTTCTTAAATAAAGCTTAGATTTTTAATTCAGATACATTGTGTTTTTTTTCTTCACATTATCTCTTGTAATTCATTTTCCTTAAAACTTCCTCTTTTTTTTATTCAGATATTTCTATAATATTTGTGTTATCATTTTCTTTTTAGATCCTATGTTTATATTAATTGATATTTTTTGGATTTGCTTTTATTTTAAATGTAATGTCTCTTACTATGTTGTGTGTTTTTTACTCCAAAGCAAATCCCTTTTATGTGAAAACACACAAAAGATTCTGCTTTTTGAGATAATTAATTATTTAATCCTAACAAAGTTGCTTTATCCAAACAGTTCTTAATACGCTTGTATTTCCTCATCTCTCTCTTTCATCCTCCAGTCTCCTTCCCCCCAGCCGACCTTCATCCTTCAGCACAACTCTCTGGTTACTCAGCCTCCCAAAACAAAAGAGCCCCCCCGCTACGAGGACGCCATCAAACAGAGCCGCAACATTCATTTCAACAACATCTCACAGGTTAGATACACACACACACACACACACACACACACACACACACACACTTCAGAATATACAAAAAAAGGGTGTAAACGTAAGATGCTATTTCAGTTTTCCAGCTTTGAAGAATTTGTCTTTGTTGTGCAGATATAAGACTCTCAAACCCATTGACTGTCTTTCCAGGTTCCCACAGCAACCAGCCAGCAAATGGATGACCTGTTTGACATCCTGATAGAGAGCGGAGGTAAGGAGGCGCACATATAAACAGACATAAACACACCCAGAAAAAACCTCGTAGTCACGGGGTAATGATGAGGACGTTTGGGGACATTACAGCTTATTGTCAGCTAGTTGTTATCTTCATGGGCAACTTGTATATTCTCTACTTTTTAATACTGTTTTATTTCTATTTTGAGATGTTTCATTTGTAGAATTGTCTCTTTTAATTTCTACTTATGTGCAATGCCTTGTTTTTTATGCTGCTCCAATGCAAACATTTCCCAATTTGGTATCAATAAAGTACTTCTTATCTTATTGTATTCATCAGACTAGACTATGACTGATATCGGCCTCTTAGATACTGATGTTGTCTTGGTTAACATCCACCTTTCTCAAAGACTATGTACACTAACACTTGAACCTGAACTCACACATGCACGTGTGCAATATGTGGTATAATGTGTTTTGGGGCCATAACATTAAATGACAACAGGATTGTACGGTTATGAATGCATTATAAGTTAGTTATGATGTAGTTAAAACAATATTGGATGATAGTCATTTTTTGTGTGTGTTTTGGACTGAGATAAATCATGGGTCAAAATGGACCCGCGAACACCATGAACGGTAACAGCTTTTGAACACAACACAAGGGTTAAAGATTTAGCTAGACGTAATGAATAAACAGTCACAAATATCCAGGTCAAAATAAAGGACAAACAGTTAAAAATAGTGAGCTAAAATAATGCTTAAACAATTAAGAAATGTAGCTAAAAGTAATGAATAAGCAGTTAAAATATCCAGCTATCATAAGCTCGTCGTGGATCCGACATAACAAGATATAACAAAATAGAAACTCAGACACGTGCTGAAGACATGTTTCTACGATTTGGATTTTAAAAAGTATGCACTCTTTATAGGAGCAATGTTGGCACTTTACTAATAACACATCTCCCCCCCACAGAGATCACCCCCTTCACGCAGCAGGACCCTCAGGTGTCTCAATCTAAAACCCTCCCGGTCACCGCCAACATCTTCACGCTCCCCGTCAGCACGGCCGTCTGCAGACCCCCCCCCCAGGTGCAGGTGGCCCCCCAGCCCGTCCAGAGCCCCCCCCCCCCTCCTCCCCAGCCTCTCCTCTCTGGCCACAGACCACCAGCTGGAGGCCTTCCTGGAGAAAACTCTGGCTGAGACGTCACCGGCGTCAGACCCAAGGACCAGAGGCCTGATGGAGGAGCTGCAGGCCCAGCTGATGGAGCAGCAGGCCTTCTCCCCCATGGACACTTCAGACCTCTCCTTCTGTGACTCCTCCTCCCCCTCCTCGCTCCACTTGGGCCTCTCCGATGCGGGCCTGGACAACATGGAGTGGCTGGACCTCACCCACATAACTACTGGGTCTGCCGGGGCGCTCACTCCTCTGGGGATCCCCTCGGACTTCCTGGACCCTCAAGACCTGCAGCTGCACTGGGAGTAATGGGGGAGAAAGGGAGGGGGCAACAGCTGAGCCGGGAGATAAAAGCTGGATGGACGAAAAGAGGCGGTAAATGATTGACATTCCAGATTTTAGACAAGGGACAACATGGCGTTCCCGTGCCATTCCACTTTCACCACTACATCCATAATACTACTCCTAAGAAGACTTCCTGGACCCTCAAGACCTGCAGCTGCACTGGGAGTGACAGGGGTGAGGAAGACAGGGGTGAGGAAGACAGGGGTGAGGAAGACAGGGGAAGAGGAAGACAGGGGAAGAGGAAGACAGGGAGGTAACAGCTGGATGGACGAAAAGAGGCGGTAAAAGGTTGAGATTCCAGATTTTAGACAAGAAGGGACAACATGGCGTTCCCGTGCCATTCCACTTTCACCACTACATCCATTCATACACGTGTAATATTCCCACTATCCTTCAGTATGAGCTGCTGAACAGGCACTGATTGAAAACTACACTGGGAGAGGAAGACAGGGGTGAGGAAGACAGGGAGGAGAACACCTGAGCCAGGAGATAAAGCTGGATGGATGAAGATATGTTCAGCAGCTCGTACTGCAGGAAGAATAGCCAAATGCTAATGCTAGTGCTAATGGGGATCCTAATAAAGAACAAGAACAAACAGCCGGTAACAGGTTGAGATTCCAGATTTCCGACGAGAAGGGACAACATGGCGTTCTCGTGACATTCCACTTTCACCACTACATCCATAATATTCCCACTACCCTGCAGGATGAGCTGCTGGACAGGCACTGATTGAAAACTAGCAGGAGTTTGCACAAAGAGGGTCTAAATGACAACATCACTGAAGTCACCATAAGACTTTCAACTTTAAGACTTTTAGTGTCTGATGAGACGAGGAGGCGGAGCCAAATGATCACTGGTAGCATGTACTGTAAATACTCTTTAAACCACACTAATACAACTTAAAGGATATTATCGTTTGCTCTACTGGAGGTTTGGCTGGTTGGCTTTCAGTGTGACATTTGAGTGGTGTTTCCACTGAAGCTTGGTTATAAAGCCGGTGATTACAACCCAAGTGTTGCTCTACGCGACGTCTGGCAGATTAAACCTTTATACAAATATTGGAAAGAGCTCATATAGGCCTGTCACGATAACTACTTCTGTTGGAGGATTCTACTCTCCAGGAAATAATTGAAATAAACAATATTTCTGTCATTTTAAGACCATGTTATGCCATAGGTGTAATGACGACAGGGTTTCCCCACACATACTGTAGACTTTACTTGAGCGGGCCGACCGGGTATATTAACGTCCGCCAAAGTATATTTCGCGACCCATTTAGGGTTAATCTTTTTTTATCCGTCCGCGAGCACGACGCCATCTGCGATCGATTAACTACCCCTGCTGTACCTGTTCGCTCTGCTATCGCGTGAAGGGTCTGCTTTATGCGCTCTCCGCAGTAACTTCGCCACGAGGCTCCGGCGAACAGTTCACCCCCCCCCCCCCCCCTTTTATGAGCGTGCTCCGCTAGCATTCTCGGCTACCACCACAAGTATATTTCAGATCTGTGGGAAACACTGGACGATATAATAATAATAATAATAATGAAACAAGAATGATTAAGCCCATGTCGATGTATTGTACTACAGGTCAGCAACGTACAAATAATCCAAAGTCACGTGCATATTTCTTATGATTTATTGATAACGTGAAAATCATACTCATCAGTCTAAATAATTTCTACATATATCGTACGATAAATCAATAACCAAAAAATGATCGAGGCCTTTTCGTACTACAGGTCGTTAGCGTGAAAGTGATCCAAGTCTATTGTGAATAGTGGATAGCCTATAGAGTGCCCATACAGCAAAAAATAAATCCGTACCTTACGAATGATAACGGTCATATCCACACATCGTACAATAAATTGGTTAGATTGTTATCGTGACAGGCCTACGCTTATATTCTCAATGATAATAATGAGTACTAGTTGCCCTGGGACATCAGTGCAGCCTCGTCTATGAACCACTTCCCCTGAAGGAGCTAAACCGGTCTGAATCTGAGGAGCTGGACCTTTTCTAAGAGTTTTTCTCTCTCTTCTCTGCTCACACTGGTCCAACAAACTGTGTGCTGACTCATCTGATGTGTGTATCAGATGCGACTGTTTCCTCCTGCGGTTCCTCCTAATGAACCAATGACTCTAAAGACTGACGACGACGAGCAGGATCCTCAAACTACGTGAGAGCTATGCACTTAAAGAGGCGGAGGGATATCTGACGGCGCCTCGTCACCTCAGAACACGGACGCCTGATCTCTGAAGATCACGCAGCCGGAGATACTGCAGTTGGTGTCCAAGTATCTAACTTTGAATGTAATTTAAAACAAAATGGGACTACACTCACAAAGTTGGCAGCTTTTTTTACTCGTGAACTGACAGAAACGGTGGAAAGGGAACAAATATCAGTTTGTGAGAGTCGGCTGCAGTCGAACTGTCTTTTATTTGCTAACTTAGTGAAATGACATGGAAGTATTAAGTCCACATTCGAAGGAAAGGAGCTTTAATGCTTCCTTTTTCATCCCTTTTAGCTTAGGGTACAATGGACCATCCCAAACCAAAACGACAGCAAGAGCATGCATCGCCTAATTACGTAGCCTAAAATAAGAGCAGTCGAACTCTGCCCAGCATCTTGCCCTGTCATTTGCTTGCTTTCTATCGAGGAAAAGTGGTTAGAAAAATATTTATAGGACTTTTCGACAGCAGCCGTGTGTGTGTGTGTGTGTGTGTGTGTGTGTGTGTGTGTGTGTGTGTGTGTGTGTGTGTGTGTGTGTGTGTGTGTGTGTGTGTGTGTGTGTGTGTGTGTGTGTGTGTGTGTGTGTGTGTGTGTGTGTGTGTGTGTGTGTGTGTGTGTGTGTGTGTGTGTGTGTGTGTGTGTGTGTGTGTGTGTGTGTTCTGCATGTCCTCCCGTCTCTGTGTGCATGATTGTTCTCGCGTCGCCCACAAGTTGTCTGAAGATTAAAGAGCTAATATCTATGTAATGAAATAATTTGCTATCCAAAAAAAGAAATATTCCAAACGTCTCTCTTCACAGCGGCTCCTGATGACTGTTTTTATCTGTGTGTTGTTCGGTGTCCTGCAAACGCACACACACACCTTTGAGGTGTAATACACAACCAAGAGGGCTTAGCTACTTTTAAAGCCGTCATAATTTGATTTTTTTTAAACATCCAACTTGCTATTTTATCTCAAAAGTAAGGAATATTTAGTTTTAGGATATTATTTTGGGATTTATGCTTACTGTATAGCACTTTTAAATCAGATTTAGTTCATAAATTGTCCTTTTTTTATGCTTTAAATCACATTTCCAGTCCATTTTAACCAATCTGTCATCATGTCCACGGGCACTAGAGGGCGCTGCCTCTCCTCTGGTGTGGCACATTTTCAGGGTCATTTCTGGCAGGAAGTAGAGTCACATCAGGCTGTTTTATTACATTTTAAATCAATGTATTTTCTGCCTTTTGTATTGCGGATTTGATGCTCTTACTGCTGCAGAATCCATCATCAAATCCACAACATTTAACCACCTGAACAAATCAAATACTTCACAAAACGGCTTCCTGGGCTTTGTTTGTTTATTTTCTACAAATGTTGTGTTAAAGCGACTGTTTGATACCCGTTCAGAGCGGACCTATCTCCTGATGTTTGGACCCAGGTTTAGCTGACTGCAGGTTTCTTTTTTATTCCCATTAATGCGAGATGTAAATCCTACACAGGATGACGAGTAAGAATCACTCATTGATTCCTGTGTGTCGTAGAAGAGATGAAGTATTTGAAGTCACTTTTTACAGCTGTCACATTTGATATTTAGTTGCCAAAAAAAGGCAGAGGAACATATTATCACACGTTTGTGTAATAATTATCACTTATTTTTTTCAGGGTGAAAATGTAAACGTGTATCTTGTTTTGTTTTAAAGAGGATTTCATGTGTATATTTTGGGTTTGCAGAGTTGATTTCTTTCGTATCAGACGAACATCTTGGCTGGGGAAGATTTAGTTTGTGACACCACTTTCCATACAGGGACGGCTAGAAGCAATAATGGCTGCTCTCCCTTTTTATACTGTACTGTAAGTCAGATCCTGCCTTGATTTGATCTTTTAAAAAGCACTTAATACCCGAGTGGTTTGTCCAATAACCCTCTTAATTTAGAAGCTTCATAGTTTCCTGTTTCTCCTGCACCGTTCATCATAATGTAAACCTATTGTTGGTGTAAAGCTAGTCAGACAAGAAGAGACGTTTTAGTAAAAATCCATTTATTTTGGGGACATTTCCATCGCCCTTGCAAAGTCTCCTCTCTTCCTCCTCACCCATGCCATGCCTCTTGTTTGTATGCCATATGTTTTGCACATTGTGTACATATTTATATAGATGTAATGCATATTTTTCTACATGTGTAACATCCATGGGTTCTCTATTTTGTACATACTCAAAAAGATGTATATATAAGTACTGTATGCCTTTACGTGTCAATAAAATGTGGTGTACTGTGACCGCCTCAGTAGACGTTAATGACAGAATAGTTCATACATAATATTTCGTATACCCAGCGAGAGTAAAGATGCGTGAGAAGAAGCCACAACATTTAAATTGTGTTACAGCTGTGCATGAAAACAGTTCTTTGTCAGGATGGATGAAACACAAATACATGTTTGCATATATTCATCGAAGCATTTCCATTTTCATCTGAGATAACGAATGTTCCCAGATATATTTCCCTATACTGAGGGAAGCGCTCATGAAGGTAATTAGTTGACGGCACACTATAGTACTCACACCGGAGTACTTTTACCCGTACTTTTCCCGTTTAGTTCCGATAGTGCCTGGAATTTTGCGTTCACACCAAAAAGAGTACTTAGTTCAGAGAACTTTTACCCCCATTTTTAGTGCCTGCTAGAGAGGTGGGACTATCCTGGGGAGAAAAAAGTACCAATTTCTGATTGGCTGGGCGAATTGAAAACCACGCCCCGTAAAACTCTGAAAAGTGTTTTGAAGCCGCCTGTATTTGCTGGCATTGGCATTATTAGCATTAGCATTAGCCCCGCGCACCAACGGAGAGAGACTAACTTATGGCAACACAAAAGAAAACACGGGAGCGATGGAGATGAGGTGTCGGCATTCTGGCGATTTACTCGGAAGGCTTCAGTAGAAGCTGCTGGGAGTCCCAGCAGCTTCTACTGAAGCCAGTCCCCCAACTCCGGGGACTCCGGGTGGCAGTATACGCCGTGAAGTTATTTGCGGCCTGCCAGTAAACCCAAAGCAGAAGAAGAAGAAGTGACGTCAGCGGCTTCATTTGTGTAATCTTCCCTCAGGGAACTTATTCCGGTGTGAACGCGATCTGCTCTTTAGTTCCATGGGGGAACTAATGCCCTTTTCACACCAAGGCTTTTCCCGTTCTCGCTCCGTGATAGAGCTTTTCTGGTTCTGAACCGGTTCTTCGGTTCAGCTCCCGCTCTTTTCACACCGCTCAGAGCCCGACTGGTGCTGCGTCATTGCGTCATCGTTTGCGTCATGACGTAACCGTTTGCGTGCCTGCTTCATAAAGCCAAACCGCGTGGAAACCCCTCACATCAACAACAACAACAATGAACAATGGGCGCGCATGCATCGGTACCGCGGATTGTTGTTGGATTGAGGCTGATAACTACAGCTCAGTGAGGTAAAGGACTCTGAGTGTTTAGATAGTTCACTTTACTCTAAGGTATCTCAGTGGGTCTCAAACAGTTTGGTCACAATTTATGTAAACAAATATTTCCAAGGCACTCCTTTATAATTATTAGGATAAATAAAAACAGGTTTGAAATCATTCCAATGTATACTATAGGACAGTAAACCAAACATATCGTTTAAAACTGGAGATATAAAAAAAAATGCATGAATAAATAAATGTTAACTCGGTAAAATAAGATATGAATGAACAACAAAAATAAAATACGTTACATTTATTTGTTATTGGCTATAGGTTATTGGTTATGTTCACATACGTATTTGATTATTAAAATGTAAACCGATCTTTTTCATATGGGTATTTTAGAGTTGTACCCCCTAGATCTAGTCTCTAGTCATTCTGCTCAAAGTGCACCAGATTGAAGCATTTTACTTTAAAATGTTAAAACAAATCTTTCCAGGGGGGCATGCCCCCGAACCCCCCTAGAGGATGTGACGTCCACCCCCCAATTAAAACATGTTCATACAATACTGAATACATTTTAAACCTTCTTTATGTATATAACCAACATGTCAATACGTTTCAGTTGTTGTAGTGTATTGGTCTTTTGTAGAGATTTTTCATGTATTCTTTATATATTCTATTGTGTATTGCTTGGAAGGGCAGGGGGGGGGGGGGTGGGGGCACCAAATCATAATCTCGCCTAGGGCACCAAAATGTCTAGGGCCGGCCCTGAGTCCCACGGGGTCGTATACGATCCAAATATCACGTTGTGTTCAAAGCGTCATATATCTTCTCAGCTGTTTGAGCCAGAGACATGCCGTGGTTTTCCTCTTAAACTAGAGAAATGGCAATAATCAACTCTATTACGAGGCGTTTACTTATTTCGATGATAATAAAATGTAATTTTCTGTGTTCAATGTTTCTTTCAATGTTATGTTTAGCAGTTATTTTTTATGAAATAAGTAAAAAATTCAATCTCCGTTTTTTTTTTTTTTTTTTTTTTATGGGCAAATATCCCCTATTATAGTATATATAAGTCTCTAATGAGTGACATATATCATTAGCTGAGGTTATGCTGATTTCTGGGATGTGTACAACTTGATTATACTGTAAAGAAATTACAATTTATAAGGCAAAATATACAAACACGGAAATGTCCTATGTCGGTCTCAGAGGGTTAAGGGGTTTTGCAATGTGATCATATATATGCAGCTTTTCACCTCCATCAGTCTGGAGGAAGAAAACAGGATTCCCACCACAGAAGAAGAGCAATTTCCTGCTTTACAAAACACATGTTGCGTGCAGTGCTTTGAATGGCAGTTGTTGCGAGCTTAGAGAAGTATTAAAGTGCATCATCTACTGTAGCGAACACATTGATTATGAATAAGTACTTGATCTAATTCCCCTTAAAAACATCCCTCAACTCGTCCACACATCACAAGTGAGCAGTCCTTTGCATTGGCAAGCTTAGAGATTGAAGTCCTTGCTCTGCAGAGATCCTGGTAGGCAGGTGTGTGAAACAAACCAGGGCGTTTTCCTTAAGTTATCTGAGCCTCTGTGCAGTTTTCTGCCAGCACTGTAGTCCAATCCAGGAAGTAAAGCCTGAATATGCTAAATAGTGGTGTCCCAGAGTCCCAGACAGCTCCAACAACTATTGGAAGTCCTCACTCAAGCACAGAACTTCGTGATTTCACTGTACGGATCACACCAGTGCTGTTATTAAGTATCCTTCGTGTCACATTGGCTCGTAGGTGTGTATCTTTTCCTGGCAGCGGGGACACCGGTGTTGCACGTTCTTGAACCGGTCGTTGAAGAAAGGGATGAGACAGCAGCCTAAAAGACCCCTGTGGAAGGAAGAGAAGTACCAGGGGAAGATCAAAGGTCTATCTTTGCAACAGGAAAGCTTTGCAATGACTAGTGGTCTTTAAAGGTCCCCTATTATACTGTTTTTCATCAATATATTATAGGTCTCAGATATATACAACACGTGTCTCTGAAGTGTTTGGCTCCAAACAGCAAACAAATCATTGCAGCATCCCATAATCCCCTCTGTTTCAGCCCTGTTTCAAAAGTGCTGATTCTCTGTCTGTTACTTTAGATGAAAATAAGGAGCCCCTCCCCACGCCCCTCTGAGAGATATTTGGTTACAAAGAACACAATGGTGCTCTAGGAGGAGATTCAGGTGATAAGGTGGGGGGGGGGGGGTTACCTTGGTTGCTGATTGGCTAATGGTTACACAAGACAAAACATCGTTATGACATCACAAAGTGGCCAAAATCTGATCAGCTCATTTTCAGACAGGTTTTTATATAAATGGATCAGGACAAAAAGAGAGAGAATCTTTGTTCCTGAAACTTTCAGAGTCTCTTTACACAGAGGGGACAAATGTTGATGTAGGAGAGACATGAAGAAGAGGGGACACATGTTGATGTAGAAGAGACATGAAGAAGAGGGGACACATGTTGATGTAGGAGAGACATGAAGAAGAGGGGACACATGTTGATGTCGAAGAGACATGAAGAAGAGGGGACAAATGTTGATGTAGAAGAGACGTGAAGAAGAGGGGACACATGTTGATGTAGAAGAGACATGAAGAAGTGGATTTTGCATAATAGGTGACCTTTAAAACATGTCTACAACTGAAAACACGCACCCTAAAATGGCGCACGTGCAGCAAATTATCCAGGTAGCTTCGCCCACCCTGCTGCGGGTCTCTGTGAGGACGACCTCCCCACAGCATGGACACCTCGTCCACTCCGGGGTTTGGCAAAGACACTCCACTGACCGAAGAAATACAGGAAGAAGAACGGCATAACAAGACATCATTTAGAGCGGGATAGAAAATATAGTATGGTATAGTATTTCGAAAATGTCTTTAAAAAAAATAACGACATAGTAAAGTATGTCAAAATAATCAGAAAAAACAATCATAGTATGGTATATAAACATTACATTTACACACATTACACTCCATTCTTCGTGTGTGTGTGTGTGTGTGTGTGTGTGTGTGTGTGTGTGTGTGTGTGTGTGTGTGTGTGTGTGTGTGTGTGTGTGTGTGTGTGTGTGCGTGCGTGCGTGCGTGCGTGCGTGCGTGCGTGCGTGCGTGCGTGCGTGCGTGCGTGCGTGCGTGCGTGCGTGCGTGCGTGCGTGCGTGCGTGCGTGCGTGCGTGCGTGCGTGCGTGCGTCAACTTTATTGTCAATCTTTCAGTTTGTGTGTACAGACAGAGAGATCGAAATACCGTTTCCCACAATCCCGAATACAGAAACAACAAATATATATATACAAATATATATACAAATATGTATATACCTATATATACACTGTGTGTGTGTGTGTGTGTGTGTGTGTGTGTGTGTGTGTGTGTGTGTGTGTGTGTGTGTGTGTGTGTGTGTGTGTGTGTGTGTGTGTGTGTGTGTGTGTGTGTGTGTGTGTGTGTGTGTGTTCTACCTGGAACCACTGGGCCTGATGGTGTTTCTGTAACAGGCTCCGGTGCCACTTCCTCCTGCTCCAGCTCCAGATGACCTGATTTAAGACATTTCAGTCAGACCACTCACTTAAAAATGTTTGTTAACAGCAGAACATAGTTTGTGTTTTGGCTCCGTACCGGTGAGGCAGAGGTGGCAAATCTTGTAGTTTAAATAGAGCGCCTGATTCAGGAGTTGGTAACAACTTTGATTAAGCGCTTTGAGCACCAGGAAAAGCGCTATATAAATCAAATGTATTATTATTATTATTAACTTCCCTTAAAGCGTTTCTGAGACGTAGGTACTGAATACACGAAAACATTCAACTGTTGCAACTAAAAGCATAAAAAAAGCTATTTGCACAGGAAGCTGGGATGCCATTACTAAGTTAATATGAAGTTAATCATAGCTGCTTTAAAATGGCAGTACTGTTCGAATACATTTTCAGAATCAGAAACAGGTTTATTACCAGGTAGGTTCAGCGGGGACACCGTTTTTTTCAACCTGTGTGTGTGTGTGTGTGTGTGTGTGTGTGTGTGTGTGTGTGTGTGTGTGTGTGTGTGTGTGTGTGTGTGTGTGTGTGTGTGTGTGTGTGTGTGTGTGTGTGTGTGTGTGTGTGTGTGTGTGTGTGTGTGTGTGTGTTCTCTACCTGGAACCACTGGGCCTGATGGTGTTTCTGTAACAGGCTCCGGTGCCACTTCCTCCTGCTCCAGCTGGGGGGGGGGGCAGCATGTAGATCCCCCCACGGGGACCCTCAGTTTTATAAGAAGGGGCACATGGGTCCAGATGACCTGATTTAAGACATTTAAGTCAGACCACTCACTTAAAAGCAGAACATAGTTTGTGTTTTGGCTCCGTACCGGTGAGGCAGATGTGGCATAGAGCGCCTGATTCAGGAGTTGGTAACAACTTTGATTAAGCGCTTTGAGCACCAGGAAAAGTGCTATATAAATCAAATTTATTATTATTATTATTAACTTCCCCCAAAGCGTTTCTAAGATAGTGCGTTTACTAGAATGAGACGTAGGTACTGAATACATGAAAACATTCAACTGTTGCAACTAAAAGCATAAAAAAACCTATTTGCACAGGAAGCTGGGATGCCATTACTAAGTTAATATGAAGTTAATCATAGCTGCTTTAAAATGGCAGTACTGTTCGAATACATTTTCCAGGTAGGTTCACACGTACGAGGAATCTGACTTGGTGAACTAAAAGTAAAACTAAAATTAAAAGAATTATTTTACGAAAACTATAATAACATTAACAAATATAAAAAAGAATAAAAAATATAGCATAGAAATAGAATGGAATAAAACATGGAATAAAATGTGGCAGTAATAAAAAAAGAAAACAGATATTGTGTGCATTAATTGAATGCATTTTCCTAAAACTGTAATCAGAGTGAAGGATAACGTGCCTCTGTTGGCTGAGGGCTTGGAGGCATTCCTCTGTTTCTCCAGCTCCTTCTTCTTGGCCAGCAGCTCCTCCAGCTCCCTCCGGATGTTCTCCAGCTCACACAGCTGCTGGTCGCTGTCCTCACATGGCACTAAACACACCACACACACAGGTGTACACACATTAAACAGATCTATAGCTGAGCATTACCTCAGATGAGAGGGCACACATCTTTAAATTAGATTTGATTGTTTTTTTTCCAATTCTTCAGGAATATTTGATTAAAAATGCAGCATTTTTTTTATTGAACATTCTCTTTTTCCTTCAACAGCTTCCATATTTTGTGACCTAATAGCCGCGTTCACACCGGAGTACTTTTCCCCGTACTTTTCGCGTTTAGTTCCGTTAGTACCCCTTTATGTCGCGTTCACACCAAAAAGAGCACTTAGTGCCGGGAACTTTTACCCCCATTTTTAGTGCCTGCTGAGAGATGGTACTTTCCTGGGGGAAAAAAGTGCCCCAGTTCTGATTGGCTGGGCGAATTGCAAACCACGCCCCGTAAAACTCTGAAATGTTTTTGTAGAGCCGCCATTTTATTATCCTCGCATTAGCATTATTAGCATTAGCATTCGCCCAGCGCACAAACGCAGAGAGACTAACTTATGGCAACACAAAATAAAACATGGGAGCGGTGGAGATGAGGAGGTGTCGGCGTTCTGGCGATTTACTCTGAAGGCTTCAGTAGAAGCTGCTGGGACTCCCAGCAGCTTCCAGGTAGCACTATACTGGATCAATAAGACACACCTCTTTGAGTTAGATTTGAGTGTTTTTTTAATAATTTTAGATCAGACATATATAGAAGTATTTGCCATCATTAGGTCACATGAACGCTATTTAAAAAAATACTTTTAAAGAACAAATGCTGATGTACTTTAATGAAATATTCCTATAAAATTAACTTAATTTGAATAAAGGATATGAAATGAACAAGTTAGCGCAGGCGTCTTGTGCCATTCAAACAGTCATTTATTGAGACGTGAAACCATGTGGTTAAAAGTAAGCGCTCAGATGAGAGCTAACCGTCCCTTTTCTTACATTTCATTTGACTTTTGCCTTTCTTGATTTGATCCTTTAATATTTGAACACAGTAAACACGCCTCAACGTTGATGAGAAAGGTAATAAAAGACACACAAACCATTCTCAAAGCAATGCAGCAGCTGTCAATCACCAAATACTAACAGGATCATTTGGGAACCACTGAATTATTTGTGCTTATTAGTGTGGATTCATGACTCACGTTCCCCTGTGGTGGAGACGCCGTCGTCCTTCTTCCTGAAGCGCTGCATCTCCAGCAGCATGAAGCGTCTGTTGTGGAGCTGCTTGATGCGAAACTCAATGAAGGCCTTTAGGGATTCGTGGTTCCCAGGCTTGATACCATGTTCAAAATCCTGCTGCTGCTCTTGTTGAGGCATTAAAGTGACCCTCGTGTTCTTCCCGATGCTCGGAGTCTGAGAGAAAGACCGAAGAATCACCTGGTCCTGGTTCATCCTGGACTAAAGACCTGAATCAAGGTGGTTTTTAAAGTAGTTCTACCCACACTGAATCCTCAAATTAAATGGAAAACATGGAGACAAGCATCTGAATCCAGGTTTGAGTCCTTCTGGAGCGAATGTAGGTTTCAAAAGCCTAGTTTCGAATCATCTGCTCAGGGAAATAGAAAGCTGGATGATGTCAAACATTTCTTCTCAAAATGATTTAAAGCACAAAAACTAATCCGAGGCATTGCAAAATACACTCATCTAAAAGTTATATTTCCCATCGTCGACATTAGAAGTAGCTTCAACACAGGCGCCTCTGGATGTGACTCAGGGTGAAATGATGTAAACAGCGTGCACAAACAGATCAGATCGTAAAACATGCAAATGATACGAGCCAAGGGCCTCTGCAGGACAATGGACAGTAGCTGGGGTTCACAGGAACACTGCTGCGGTCATTTGCAAGGTGATGACATTTACATGTTTTGGTGCAAGCTTTTTTAATCAGGGTGATTTATTCCATTTTCATTTGTTAAACAAATTCCCTCTTGTCTTGTTTTCCTGGCACAGTTCATCATATTGTTTTTGTGGTTGTTAAGAATACATCCCAATGCACAGTATGAGTTCACCTCAAAAACCAGACTATTTATTAAAGACTTTGAGCTTTTGTTATTAAAGGTCACCTATCATGCTATTTGTAGGCAATAGCATAGGTCTCAGATATATCAAAAATATATAAAAAACATGTCTATGAAGTGTTTTGCTCAAAATACCAAACAGATCACCCATATCACATATTTCACTTCCTGTTTCAAAAGTGCTGATTTGGGGTATAAAGCTTTAAAAAAAAAAACTTGATAAAAAAAAAAGGAGGGGGCTGAGCTCATGCGGGACCCGGCAGCTACTGTCTAAACCAGGGGTGTCAAACTCAATTTCATCACGGGCCACATCAGCATTATGGTTGCACTCAAAAGGCCGGTTGTAACTTTAAGACTATATAAAAATACATATATAAATATTTAATATATATAAAATAATGTATTATATTACATTATTGCCTCTGCATTGGATTATTATCGGATAGGGTAATAACTTCATGATTAACTACGTCTGAAAGCAGAAGTCTAGGGCAAATAATTGCAAGTCTCTTCAGTAAGAATGTCACAAAATGATTTTAAAAGAAAAGTGACATTTTGAAAAAAAAGTAATTTTTGAGAAAAAGGCTAATTCTAAGAAAAAAGGCATATTCTGAGAAAAAGTCAAATTTTAGATGCATTGTGGGACATGTCGTTTATGGGCAACGTGCTTCTGTTAAGTAGCATGTAACCGTATAATAAACATATTATAAAACGGACAAGTCAAATCAAGCAATCTGATTGGTTCTTAGCCGTGATATACTGAGCGTATACCACGGGTAGAATTGTAGTTACTTTTCACAACAAGTCAGTATCCCTCCGCGTCTGAGAAAACTGTATACAGTTGGGCTGAAAAGCAAACTGCCTGCAGTTTGCTTTTCAAACTGGGACAAGAAAACAGCGGAGAAGTAACGGGGCAGAAACCCTCCTTTTTACGCAGCGGTCCAGACATAGACATCAAACGGCAAAACATATTCAGTGTGCAGTTCCTTTGGCATTAGGGCAGGGATATCTAGATGCTTTCCAAGGTTTGACATAATGAATTGTGCTACTTTTAAAGCAAGCAACGATGTTTTGAAATCTGTAATCAAAAAGGTCCGCAAAAACGCTATCGACCAATCAGATTGCTTGATTTGACTTGTCCGTTTTATAAATATATTTACATTTCTTCCGTTACGAAACAAACTTACAAAGCATAAGATGGAAACATTTAAGATGAATTTCGACCTCCGGGGGGGTCTTACTATGGAGGAGTGGATTGAGCAGTGCCTATCTCCAGAAAAAAAAGCACCTAAACGACGACATGTAGAGCTACGTGAAGAGCAGGTAGACCAACTGGAAAAGTATCACCATTCAAAAGCTTTCTGATGCGGGTCTTGAAACAAAGCAGAGAAATGATGACCGTTAGTGGCCACAGGTGCGAATGCTCTCTCCAGAGCTACTGGAAGCCGAATCTCGGGGACCGGAGAAAGTGGAGCAATATTCTCGCCACGCCAAGCAACAGCCTAGAACAGGGGTAGGCAAGTAAGTTTGGCCGTGGGCCAATTTTTTGCTGAGCCACAAGATGGCGGGCCAGAACATAATCGAAGCCTAATTCAAGGAATTGATTTTGGTAAGAGGGCGCAGCGCCCCTGTTCCCCGGTTCAGAAAAAACTCTGATATCGCTGATAACCCTCCCCATCAACACTCTGATGCGCAGTCAGATCTGCTGATTGGTTCACTGATGATATAGGCGCCCAATCCAGAGCCTCTGGATAGACCCGCCCAAAGGGAGGCTCGTCGTCTCTAGCCCCATTTCAGTCCCATGTTAAAAGTCAGGGCTATTATCTGTATTTTAACAGACTTTTAAATTGAGGTGTATTTATTGTTCTCTTCAAAGTTTTTTTTTTTCTGAAATTTTAGGGAGGATGGTCCTCCCTTTCTTCAATGGACGAGCCTCCACTGAATGAGTTATTAACTAGGTAGCAGTGTTATTTAACATACTTTTATTCTGATAAGTATTGTCAAGTTCTCTGGGTTTTTGGCATTTATTTGAGTGTTTGCCCACATTTGAGAGGCTTGAGGGGCAACAGAGGACGCATGGACAACTGGAATCCTTTTTCCTTTTCTTTATTTCAACTTTTCAAGGACACATTAGGATTCTTTCAGGTTGAAAACCTTTAAAAAAATACAAAATAAATAAATTACAGCATGTTTTGCTTTGCAATTTATTTAATATATTATAACCTAAATTAATCAGTAACCAAGTATTTTACTCAAACTCAATGTATTTAATAGTTAAAGGGGACCTATCATGCAAAATGCACTTTTGTACGTCTTGTATACATGAATATGTGTCCCCGGTGTTCCAGGGAACTCACCAAGTGTCAGTGGCTCAGTGTTTTCTGACACTTGGTGAGTTCCCTGGTGTTCCAGGGAACTCACCAAGTGTCAGAAAACACAACCCTCTCTATTTTCCTCCATACCCAAATCTCTAAAAAAGGGGCTGCAACGGATCTGATAAAAACTGATCCAGATTTGAACACTGTCCTGACGTCAGGACGGTGGCGCTACGGCTATTGGGCCAACTCTCCACCTATCAGGGGAATGTGTCTGTAGTCTGCCACAAAAGCAGCGAAGAAGACTTCCCGCGCATGGTTGCCATGGTTACCCTTCTGTTTATTCTCCGCTGTGGCTTTTGTTCTCCCTCCCCGAGGCAAGCACTGTAATTCTCTCCGGTTAGTCCACCAGCAGATGACAAACACCCACCTCTCCGTCTCTTCCAAGGAACGAGGGGACCGTGCGGCAGAGTTTCAGTTAGGTTTTCTTTCGCCGGTCAAGATGTCCGTTAAAGTTGAAATCTTCCGGACAAAATTTGAAAAGTGCCGGTCAAAGGTCTTCTTTGTTATTTATTGAGCTTTAAAACAAATGAATAACAACTCTATATAATAATATAAGAATAAAACACGGAGGACGGAGATCTCTTTTTCTCCCCCTCTTCTGACTTGATCAGAGCACGCTCCCCTCTCCTGCAGGGGGGCGTGGTCAGCTGCAGCTCACAGAATCAGCCCCCTGCAAAAACAGGGCTGGAGAACAGCAAATAGAGTGAAATGAGGCATGGCTAAAATGCATGATCTGTTTGGTATTTTGAAAACAGAAACGTATAAATATACCTTATATAGGTATGGCCCTACAATATATAATTTAAATATAGCATGATAGGTGTCCTTTAAATAAGTACTTTAATTGACGTCAGTGCACCCCGCTGCCTGATTGTGCGTGTGCTGTATGTCATTCATTCTCAACATAGATAAAAGTACAATAAGCATTCTTCAGGTGTAGGTAGATTCTCTATTCGGACATTATAGCCTATATGTGCGACTGTCGGTCCGATGTTGTAAAAAAAAAAAAAAAAAAAAAAATCTCAAAATATTTTTTTATTTTTTATTCTCAAAATTACGGGCCAAATATTATTGCTGGCGGGCCAACAATGGCCCGCGGGCCGCCTGTTGCCGACCCATGGCCTAGAACAACCTCAACCTATACAAGTAACCTCGTAAGCCATTCTGCTGATGCTGGACAGTTTTTCAGTGGGTGCACAATAAATGGCAACATACAAATCAATGTAAATAAATAGCCAAATAATGGATCAACTCTCTCTGTCTACAACACACTCTCACTCCCTAAACGTCCAGGAGCGACGCTTGGTCAGGGTCCCGTGGCGTGCAGTTGGGACGGGCTTCGCGTCGGGCCGAACCACGCCCCTTAGCTGTGATATAATGAGCATATACCACGGCCTGTCGTGAGCTATTGCTTAATTATATTCTTTGCAAGCTCTTGTGGGGCCACATAAAATGAAGTGGCGGGCCGGATAGCAACACATTTAAAGACAACAGAAATATTCTTTCAACAGCATGACAACATTTTAAAATATTTGTTGTGGCCATTTATGATTGTTTACTCAAGGATTTCTTATTTTCTGTGCTGTAAAAATGAGGGGAAGTGCAGTTTGTGTCACATTATACGCAGAATGTTAGAAAGTATATATATAAGTGCAGCTTTAAAACTTGTGAAACGAGCACTAAGAGATATTTTTGTTTCTGTTTTACTTATTTAAGTTAGTACCAAACTACAACATTGACCACCATATCTCAAATATTCCTTTACAACAAAGCTTATCAGACATATTCAATTACCAATCAGAGAACATTTACAAACAATAACAACAATATCAGCCAGATACAGAAATAAATGGTTTCCATCTCTGATCAAAATATCCTTTTTTCTTGCAATTGTGTCATTTCTTTAATTATGACATTTCCCTTGCAACTAACAATGATACCTTTAACATACGTTTACAGAAAAACCTCCCTACAATGAGTGTTGTAATGTGAGTATATACTAAAACATTATATCAATATTAATCAGTCATTATTGGCATCAGTAACCCATGATAGGAATTGAATACAGACAAAGCTGAGTTCAAAGGTCGCAGCCACACTCAATACTTAAAATGCGACATTTTTCAGTCGATTTTTTTCGTTCTAAAAATAGCACAGCCCTCGTGGATGTGATAGTACACAGCGTACCGGTTTGTTCAACTGTGAAATGTGGCAGTTGGCCCCATGCAGCCACCGTAGCATCAATAACGCCTGTAGCCTGTGTGTAACATCGGCAGAGCAGATGATGTCTGACCTATATTCAA